TTGGTGATGTGAGAGAATGGTATCTGTGTGTGTGTGTGGCCTATTAGGAGTCGAGAGGTAGAAGATTGAGTGTTGGTCGCCGATGTTGGTGATGAGTGAGAACATGTGGGCTCATGGTGTGAGTTTGGAAGGCGGTCACGTTTAATATGCAATATAACTAATTTACCGGGACAAGTTGAGTTGGTGTAGTTTTAGGGTAGTGTTAAGGCAGGACTTAGATTGTATAGATAGGGTACCTATGGGAATACTGGATTTGCTGTTATTGTATGTGCTACCGGTAACCATAATTAGAGTTTTGGGGTAAGTTAATGATGACTAGTTCTAGGGTGGTTATAAGGTATGACTTAAGTTGTGTAGATGAAATGCATATAGACAAACTGAATTTTTTGTTATTGCATATTATACCTGCAACTTGATTTTTACCGTATTGAGTTATGTAGACTCGCTTTTTATCATTAACAGATGAAGTAGGGATGGAGCTGGAATCTGAGTTGCTGGTTTCCGAGCCTAGTCTTTAGCGCCACATGGCAAGGATTTTCTTTGTGGGCAGATTGTAGTGTGTAAAAGTTTATATTAGTATGGATAATGTCTACTGGAGGTGTATGAGATTGTCTTATCATATGATGTATATGTAGGATTGTAAGTTTACACTGGGTTTGAATAATGAAGTGTGGACAAGTTTTCTTTGTGTGTGATTGATTTGGCATGAGACTTGCGTATTGGGTCATGAGATTGTCTTAGATTGCGCCATTAAAGAAAAAAAAAAGGTTTTACAGGTTTACATTCCTTATATAATAATTTAGAATACCCAATAGGATTACGGGAATGACCATTTTAAAAGAACAACAAAAAATCAAAGAAATAAATGGAAAGTAAACATCTTGACATTCTATTCGCAACCCTCTTGTAGATTAGGATCTGAATCTTGGTTCTCTTGATCTTAAATGGTTAATGAAAGAATGAGCTACACTAGCTCAGTAAGAATATCACACTATTCACCGATACAAAAACGAAGGTTGGTAAAAATCATGAACCAACTAATAAAGCTTTTAATTTAAATAAATTCATTTATCATTAATAAAATCATTTATTGTGCACTTACTGTAGCGAAATTTTAAAAACTAATCTATAGAGGCAATAACACAAGCAATATCATAACCTTATATTCAATTTATCAGAACAACAAGTTTCTCGTTTTATCTGTCTACTGGTATCCGTGGGATCTATAGGGATATCCCCATTACGCATGAACCCTTATTCAACATTATCAACTAACCGACCGTCCCCATATCCCGTTCGGTATGAGCGCCAAAAATACCTCCCTCAATACCCTCTCCGGTATGAGAGTGAAATGGGCTGTCCCCATACCTAATCTGGTATGAGCGCCAAAATATCAACCTTCAACACTCAGTTCGGTATGAGATAACATTCACGGTAGGATTCCCTATGCACCCGGTCCGTCTACCATCTCCTAGGATGTAAGGCCTCGATTTTTTTTCCAGCGGTGTTACCTCAACCATGTTAGTATACATGAAACAATGTATATCATTCCATAAATAAGTTCGATCATACACATAAAGAAAATACTGGAAACAAGTTGCTCAATTTTTAAAATTTCTCAACAGTATATCCATCATTATACTAGTTTACGAATTTCACAAGTCCTCTTTTCAAGAATGAGTTACATTGTTACTAACTATGTAATTATTCTATTTTACTAGTAATACTCTATGCTCCGTCTCCTCTATACGCTAGGTTCGGAAGCACGCAACTCTGATCTAGTCTTCGGTCCTACTTCATCTGTAATTGATAGGGAATGAGTATATACAAACTAAGTATAGTAAATTTAAATCACAAATATAGCATAGATATCCAATTAAATGTCTATTCTTCTATGTTCCCCCCGTCCCCCGTTATATTGGTCACGCATTCTTTTCTACCCACACTCTCCTACTAAAACTTATCTAACTCCACTGTAATTATCACATCTCCTTGATGAAAAATTATCAATTCCACTAGGTGTAGTCACACAATATTACCAAGGTACCTGCCCCTTCGGCCCTGACCCAGCCACTCATCCACACTATTACTCCTAGATAAAAAAACCCCATCCGTCACCAATATCGGCGACCATTTTTTCTCACCACTTGATCCCCAACTGACCACCACCCACACACACCGTTACTGTTTTCTTTCATCACCAATATCGACAACTCAACTCGTTACCAGTCTGACAACTCCTAAGCATCACCAATATCAATGACTGACTTACCTATTTGAGTGACGACAACAAATATCGGCATCCTAACTCCACTCCAACATTACCACCACTAATATATCATCACCACATCCATACTCAATATACCACACATACATGTATACTTAACCCACGTGCAAGTCATTTCACTTTAAAATACTGATAAACAATCAATATCTTCATGCAGTTTTCAAATACACAATCATACTTATATTTCACACACAAGCACACACACACACACACTTACTGTTCTCTATCCTATTTTCCCCCAATCCCTTTCTCTTCCACTCAACATATAACACCCAAAATTTATCTTTTATATTATTTTATTTGTATTTTAATTTTTTATAATTAATTTATAAGATTTTAATTTAATTTAAAAGAAATAAAAATAAAAATAATATAAAATGGGGTAAAATTATTTTTGAAATTTAATTGAAATCGATTTTGGAAAAAATGGATGAAAATTTAGATTTTGGGGGTGTTTTTGAAAGGAAAATCGAAAACCAGAGGTCAAAACGTAATTTAAAAAAATAGCGTCACGTCAGCAGCCGCGTCAGCAACCCGGTCAGCAGCCCCGCCCAACCAGGATACGCCGCGTGGCAGGGACGCTGACGCGGGAAGCCACGCGGGACGAAGACACGTGGGCGATCCGCGTGCGCGTGATCGGACGGTCCATATCCGTTCCCGCGCACACAGACGGTCCAGATTTGATCACGCACAGACGGC